TGTTCTGAGCGCCCCCGAGCCCACTTTTTTCGCCAACAAATCGACCCACGCCCCCCACCTGGCCCCGACACCCCCAGGCCTCTGGGCTCTGTTCTTGGGACCCCCGACCCCACGATGTGTCGCCCAACATCGACCAACACCTCCCACCTGGCCCCGACACCTCCAAGCCTCTGGGCTTTGTTCTTGGGGCCCCTGGGCACATTTTTTTCGCCAACAAATCGACCCACGCACCCCCCTGGCCCCGACACCCCCAGGCCTCTGGGCTCTTCTTGGGACCCCCCCCAACCCCACGATTTGTCGCCCAACATCGACCAACGCCCCCCGCCTGGCCCCGACACCCCCAAGCCTCTGGGCTCCGTTCTTGGGGCCCCCGAGCCCGCTTTTTTCATCGACAAATCGACCCACCCACCCCACCTGGCCCCGGCACTCCCAGGCCTCTGGGCTCTGATCTTGGGACCCCCGGCCCCACGATTTGTCGCCCAACATCCACCAACACCCCCCACCTGGCCCCGACACCTCCAGGCATCTGGGCTCTGTTCTTGGGGCCCCCGAGCCCACCTTTTTCGCCGGCAAATCGACCCACGCACCCCGCCGGGCCCCGACACCCCCAGGCCTCTGGGCTCTGTTCTTGGGCTCCCCGACCCCGCGATTTGTCGCCCAACATCGACCAGCACTCCCCACCTGGCCCCGACACCCCCAAGCCTCTGGGCTCTGTTCTTGGAACCCCCGAGCCCACTTTCTTCGTCAAAAAATCGACCCACGCCCCCCACCTGGCCCCGACACTTGTCGCCCAACATCGACCAACACCCTCCGCCTGGCCCCGACATTCCCAAGCCTCTGGGCTCTGTTCTTGGAGCCCCCGAGCCCACATTTTTCGCCGACAAATCGACCCTTGCCCCCCACCTGGCCCCGACACCCCCAGGCCTCTGGGCTCTGTTCTTGGGCCCCCCCCCAACCCCGCGATTTGTCGCCCAACATCGACCAACATCCACCGCCTGGCCCCGACACCCCCAAGCTCTGTTCTTGGGGCCCCCGACCCCGCGATTTGTCGCCCAACCTCGACGAACACCCCCCGCCTGGCCCCTGACGCCCCCAGGATTCTGGGCTCTGTTCTCGGGTCCCGAGCCGACTTTTTTCGCCGACAAATCGACGCGCACCCCCCCGCCTGCCCCGACACCCCCAGGCCTCTGGGCTCTGTTCTTGGGACCCTCGACCCCGCGATTTGTCGCCCAACATCGACCAACGCCCTCCACCTGGCCCCGACACCCCCAAGCCTCTGGGCTCTGTTCGGGGGCCCCCGAGCTCATTTTTTCCCGCAAGCAAATCGGCCCACGCCCCGCACCTGGCCACGACGCCCCCAGGCCTCTGGGCTCTGTTCGTGGACCTCCGACCCCACGATTTGTCGCCCAACATCGGCCAACACTTCCCACCTGGCCCCCCCACCCCCAGGCCTCTGGGCTCTGTTCTTGGGGGCCCCGAGCCCACTTTTTTCGACCCACCTGGCCCCGAGACCCCCAGGCCTCTGGGCTCTGTTCTTGGGACCCCCGACCCCACGATTTGTCGCCCGACATCGACCAACACCCCCCGCCTGGCCCCGACACCCCCATGCCTCTGGGCTCTGTTCTTGGAACCCCCGAGCCCACTTTCTTCGTCAAAAAATCGACCCACGCCCCCCCACCACACACACACACACACACACACACACACACACACACACACACAACACACACACACACCACACAACCACCCAACACACACACACACACCCACACACACACACACACACACACACACAACCACACACACACACACACACACACACACACACACACACACACCACACACACACACACACACACACACACACACACACACACACACACACACACACACACACACACACACACACACACACACCACACACACACACACACACACACACACAACACACACACACACACACACCAAAACACACACACACACACACACACACACACACACACACACACAACACACACACACACACACACACACACACACACACACACACACACACACACACACACACACACACCTGGCCCCGACACCCCCAGGCCTCTGGGCAATGTTCTCGGGAACCCCGACCCCGCGATTTGTCGCCCAACATCGATCAGCGCCCCCCGCCAAGCCCCGACACCTCCAAGCCTCTGGGCTCTGTTCTTGCGGCCCCCGAGCCC